CCCGATGGCACCACATCCTTTTCTGGGATTATGCAGGGCGGCGGGTCTTCTCTGCCCGACGGGGCCCCCGGGAGCGGGGCTCGGGTCTAACTTGGCCTTCACGTGTTAACAGCGCCAAGCACGGTGCTTGCTTCCCCAAAAGGACCGAGGAGGCAAACGCATGAAGGGTGAGGAGCGTGTCACTGAGTGAGACGGAAAAGTGAGATAGAGAAATCCCCTTGGGGCCGAGTCTCCTGACGACTCTGGTGACCTGCTTAAGGAAGGGGGGCTGGCCCACTGACCTTGTCTGTTCTCCTGAGAGAGGCTGCTGGCGCTCCCGTCCTCGGCCAGGCCCTGCTGCAGGTTCGCGAGGATCTGCGGAAATTGAGTGAGAGCAACAAGAATGAATTTACTTCTAGGCTTTTCCATAATAGATTACAGGAGAAGCAGATTGCTCTGTATGGGAACCAATTTGCCAAGGAATGCTTCACAGGGGCATCATAAAGCATGGCGGCTCACGACACACAGAGGTGACAGTAAGCGGGGGAGTGGCTCTCTGGCGGGTGGCGCGTTGGGTTCACGATGCCTGTAAAGCATCCAGAGACATGGCCGTGGGGCGGAGGTGTCCTCTCTGAGAGAAAGGCGTCAGGTGTGTCACCCGGGAGGACGGTCAGTAACTTCTGAGAAAACATGTCTCCCTCCTCCAGGGCACCACGAGGAGTGGGGCCTTTTTCTAATGTCTCGAATAAATCCGGAGCACCTGTCACTTTACATGGTTTTTACTGTTTGGCTAATAACTTTGGGTTGCTTCCTTTGTGATCTGGTTTCCCTGGAAGAAAAGAATTTACTCCACTGTGATCTGGGCAGAGGGCGTATTTTCTGGAGGGCAGGGTGAGGAGAAAAAGCGCTGAGAGTGAAGACTGCCTGCTGGGAGAACAATAAAGACCCGTGGACTGAAACAAGGGTGTGCGGCGCCCTGTGACGACCGACTGCAGGCCGCGTACTTCCGGGAAACCAGCCCTTTGCTGAGCAGGCCGCCCCGCCAGGTCAGCACCGCCCCACGCGCAGCCAGCGAAGGAGCTGCTCTGGGCTCTCCCCCGCCTCGCCGTGTCCACAAGGCGAGGGGCTACTTGGGCCTCCTCGGCCGCCAGGGTCAGTGCTTCGCACGAGGTGGACAGTCTGCTGTGGACATGAAGGTCATCCTCTGGGACCACTCAGGACACACCCGGGGTTCAAAATTGTAACCACGAAGATTAGCTAGTTGGTCTAAACCAGGTCAAATGACATTTTTCAGCTAATCTGTCTTCTGATAAGTAGTCATAAAAACAGAAACTGACCAGGAAGGAGAGTCTTGATGGTACCACTGAGGGAGAACAGGGACAGAGAGAAGGGACGAGAGGTACTGAAGAAGAAAAGCAGGCGGCCTGGTTCCTCCCGGCCCTGGGGGCTGCACACACTGCAGAGGGCCAGCTCACTGGCTTCGAGTCACTGTCAATGGATGGGGGCATAGGGAAGGCACGGGTCTCTGATGGCAAAGCGACCAGAAAAGAGCCCCAGAGAACGAGAACCGTGTGCAGAGGCAGACTACACACCCTGTGAGGGCAGGTCGGGGACTGGTCTTTGCGCCTCACCTGCAGACTGACCCCATGCACCCTGAGGAGGCCCCCTCTGGAGCTGCGGTCTCTCCAGCCTGGGCTGAATCATAGGATGGGTTGAAGAGAACGGACGAAGGAGGAGGGAGAAGTGATGGAGGAGGAGGGAGAAGTGGTGGAGGAGGAGGAGGGAGGAAAAGTAATGGAGGAGGAAGTAGAAGTGATGGAGGAGGAGGGAGAAGTGATGGAGGAGGATGGAGAAGTGATGGAGGAGGAGGGAGAAGTGATGGAGGAGGAGGGAGAAGTGGTGGAGGAGGAGGGTGAAGTGATGGAGGAGGAGGGAGAAGTGATGGAGGAGGAGGGAGAAGTGGTGGAGGAGGAGGGAGAAATGATGGAGGAGGAGGGAGAAGTGATGGAGGAGGAGGAGGGAGAAGTGATGGAGGAGGGGCTCCTCTGAGAGGCAACAGGAGAAGAAATGAGTTCAGGAAAGAAAAAAAAGTGTTCCCACCTTTCTGGTGTCAAGATGTGGACTTTGCAAAGTCACAGTCACAGTGCATGATCTACAAGGTTGCTTCCATAAAGCAAAGTGCAGAAACACTCCCAACCCAAAGCCCGAGCCACTCAGACTGCCATGGCCGCATCTCCCTCCCGTCCCTCCCGTCCCTCCCGTCCCTCCCGTCCCGGTGCAGGTCAGGTGCTGGGAGCAGTCCTGGGTTTGCTTCCCAGAACGATGAAGGCATTGCACCCACCCTGCTCATTGTGGAAGATGGTTTGTGAGGCCGCGGTGGCAGAGTGACACCGCCTGGGCTCTGGGAGAGCAGACGCCGCGGCTGCCCCCTGAACCTGCGTCTCAGCTCCACCAAGTTCACACGAAGGCCTCGCGGCCGAGCAGGCTGCCCTTTCCCTGGCATGTTCCCCACGAGGGGTACATGTTTGGCGCCTGGGGTTCTCATGCCTGCGAGCCGCCCGCTGACTGCGGGAGGCCAGGACCTGGGGCACAGGAACACCACCAGGTTGCCTGCTGGGCACTGGGCGGAGGGAGCCAGGCTCCCACCCCGGCCATCGGTCTGCCCCGCTCAGTGCAATGCTGGGCGGCCGTCTGGGGGCAGCAGGCAGTCACGAACTCCAGGGGAGGAAACACATGACTTCTGGATGTGTGCTGTCACTGAGCAAAATGACAAAAATGGTGTCAGGTGGGGTTATTTTGTGATGAAGGCTTTACTGGGGATCAGGCAGAGACCACACCATGGCAACGCTGGTCTGCAGGGTGGTGCTGAGTGCGGGGGCAGGAGCCCTCTGGGCCACGGGTCTGGCCGGGCTCCTCGGAGCAGATGCCAGCACGAAGGAAGGACAGGCTGGTCGGCTTTAGCGCAGGAGGATGATGTGGGGCGGGAAGGACGAAATGGGTTGGGAGGGAGACAAGGGCCCATGAGATGCCCTGCAAGCCCAGAGGGAGAGCAACAGGACAGCACATGCTGGGTGAGGGAGGCGCAGCTTTACTCGGGGCCCTGGCGCAGCGGGACGGCACTACTCCCACGCCCATCTCCAGGCCTCTCGGGGGAGTCCTCAGGAACACGGGGCCCGGGCGGAAGCAGCTGGACTTCGTGCAGGCAGGGATCTTCTCCAGGCCCTGACCGTGGGCGAGGAGCACCCGGGCACTGGGCTCAAGTACACGGCACAGGTCAGGAAACCCACACAGGCGGGCTTGTCCCCTGCAGACCAAGGCCTCTGTCGCAGAGGCCGTGATGAGAGCGTCACCTTCCCAGGACCTGCACCAAGTGTCCAGGCTTCAGACTCTCCAGTCGGAGCTGCAGCAGGTGCTGGTGGGTCCCCAAACGTCTCCTCGAATTGTCTCCCCCCCATCTCCCCGCACACCCGAGCGCCTGAGTGATGGCGCGCAGGGTGAGGCTGTGGGCCCGGCACTGAAGCAGGTGGCTGGGGGCTTCCACGCAGATGCTGGCTTCTGTCACCGTCGGGGGCCCCCACCGGGTCCATCTTGGTCTCACAGCGCGAGTCTGCGTACTCCAGCCTGCGACGTCCCAGGAACCAGGGTCGTGGCCCTGGTGCTGGTTACTGTGCCAAGTGGACAGGCTTCAGAGAAGCTGGGCTGTAAGCTCATCCCCAGAGCAGGGGTGAAGGTGGGGCCAGAAGCACAAGTATGTGTTTTTGAGACCAAATCCTGGGAACAGATCAGTGCTGCCCAGGCCGCAGACAGGCGTCCTGGCTCGGCAGCCAGCAGAGCCTCAGAGAGGGCAGTGGGGGGCAAGGACCCAGCTCGGGGAGGGAGGGGGCGGGCTGAGGGGCCGTGTCTCCAGCCACAGGAGCACCTTCGCCGACGCAGCCCCACCCAATTCCCCACATCTCGGGCCCTCCTCCCGAGAGGCCTTGAGCCTGAACCCCCCGAGCTGTGCCCCAACTCCAGCCCACAGACGCGCTGAGACGACAGGTCACTGTCACTTTAAGCCACAGAGTTCTGGGCTAGTTAGTTATGCAGCAGCTGGTCACCAACACACAGGGACTAACAGTCACCGGGCACTCCTGTGGGAGGCCTCCCGCGAGGGACAGTGCAGCGGGGCGGCGTGCTGAGACATGCTGGGGGTTTGGTTTTCATCTGGAAATCCCAAAACGGGCTCCTCAGTGGTGTCCTAGAACGAGCTGCTCTCTGAAATTCTAAGACTGAGGCAGCAGTGGATCTGAAAGTGCACGGATGCTGCTTGGCGGTGAACGAGGGGGAGCCAGGGGAAAGTGGCCTGGGAGACGGTTCCGGAATGTTCTGTCAGCAGACAGGTGTGACCAGAGCTGAGAGGCTGCATCGCAGCACCCCTCCCTGCCCCCACGCGCGGGTACTGGGCTCGTGTGTGC